TTGATCTCCAGTGCGGGACATGCAGAAGGCAGCCAATCAATGATTCTCTCTCATCGTTGATGTTTCAATCTCTCTCTTTCTCTCCCTTCCTCCCTAAAAAATCAATAAATATATATATTGTAAATACAAGTTGAATGACACATCCTTGGAGATTCTAATTCAGTAGGTCAGAGGCCACGTGACCTCCTCCACCATTTCCACCCCAAGGTCATCCTGATACTAGTGGCCTAGAGACCACATTTTAAGATGGATCTAAACTCTGTCCTTCCTACCCTGCCTCTTCCTGGTCACAGAGAGCCCAAGTCAAGGACTCTCAATTTCAGGTCCCACACAATGAACTCTCAGCACTGCCTTCCTCTCCTTCGCTCCACGTACCAGCTTTGACTTCAAATGGTAACTCCAGTTCTTTCAAGGCATCTTTCTTTAATGGCAAGTTTTCTAATTCGACTGCACCTAAAAAATAAAAACAACATCATGTGGTTGCCAGAGGAGAGGGGGCTTGGGGGTCTGGGTGAAAAGGGTGAAGAGATTAAGAACTCCATATTGGCAGTTATGAAACAGCCCGGGGATGTACAGTGAAGCAGAGGGAATATTGGCAATGTCAGGGGATCACTTTGTAAAGTATATGATTGGCTAGCCACTATGCTGTACACCTGAAACTAATACAAAATAATGTGGAATGTCAACTGTAATTGAAAAATAAAATAAAAATAATTACATAAATAAAATAATATCCTGAAATGTTCATCCAACAACTGCGGCAGATGCCTACCCTGTGCAAATCATTGAAGGTTGAAGGGAAAGTTTTACAACGAGACCAGAGCGACAAAAAGCCAAGAGAGGCGCTGCCACCAGCCTATGTGCTTCATCTACACTAATTTCCCGGCTCCCACTCTGACATGTAAATAACAGCTCAAGTTTACAGCAGGTGGAGTAATGGCCAGATAGTAAATATTTCAGGCTTTATGGTGTCTGTTGTATAGTCTCCTTTTGTTTTTTGGGGTTTTTTTCCACAAGCCTTTAAAAATGTAGAAGCCATTTTCAGCTCACAGGTGGGAATCTGGCCAGCTGGCCAGTTTGCAAGCCCCTAGTTCAGGGTAATGTTCACTGGAGGACCATTAACATCGGCATCTCCTGGGATGAAATGCAGGCTCCTGGGCCCCCTGCCAGACATCTCTGAGACTGAAACACAGAAATTTGCAAATTTTAACAAGCTCTCCTTACCCCCACACACACCCCAAAAACAGGTGTACTACACACAACATCTGGGCGCCTGGGAGAGTTAAACGAAGTTGGTCATGAAAAGGAATTAGACTCTCTCTTCTGGAGGGACCAGCTCCGCAGGTTCTCCTCTGCACTTCCACCTGCAGGTGTAATAACAAGCAGAAGGCAAAGGAACAAACAGGACCCCCGCTGAAGACCTTTCAGACCCAGCTTTGACAATGACTTAAACCCCGAAGTACAAGATGCCTCCAAGGAATAGTCTAGATCTCTCACCCCCGACTATGGAAGTCATTCATTCACACACACATACCAATCCCTGTCCTTACTGGACACTATACTAACCACTGGGGTTACAAAAAGAGAAGGCAGGGCTCTCATCCCCACAGAGCTCGGGAGACAGCCATCATCTTACAAAACTGTTTGCACCACACAAGGCAATTTCTGAGCCACGGAAATCTGTCTGAGATGCATTATTTTCAAGAACAAGCAGTACAGACAGCAGCTACCCAGCAACCCTTAGCTGGTAAGGGAACCCAGAAAAAAGGCAAGCAAGGCTTCTCCTCCAAAGACCACTAATGCCAGAAACTTGATGACTTTTCCCTGACTGTTCAAGACCAGTGCATAATTGGCTTCTAAGTATTCAGGTCTAGCAATTTGGCAGATTCTGAGCAAATGTAGCCAATTTATTTCTCAGACTTTTGCGGGAACAGCTGTCCATATGGGGGATCCACATACCTTCAGACTAACCAAAAGGAGAAGTTAATAACCCCAGAGAGCCCGGACAAACCGTATTTCCACATTTGGGGAGAAAATAATCTTAAGGGGAAAAATATCATGAAACATATTCCTTATCAGTTGAAAGTGACTGAAAGGGAGGAAAGTATGTAGTCTCTTCTTTTGAAGAAGCAACATCTGCCCTATTTTTCAGTAGCCCAGCGAGACTGACGGCCCTACGTTTGCTTGGCTGCTGTATAGCCTGGAGAAGTGGAACGAATTGTAGGCAATCCACACCATGAAAAATTAAAGAAGCTGCAGCCCAGAGAATGAAGGAGGTGACCTGGAAAGGAGCGGAAACAGAAGAAAGGATGAGAACTGAGGGCCCAGGCAGAACCGCAACAGCCATGCGTGGTTCAAGACCAAAGGCCTCCTACTGCCCCACCCACTCACACAGGTACCCACAACTGACCCTGCTGGAAGAGGTCCCTCCAAGGGGCCAGGCCCGAAAGCACCCAGTGGAGGCAAGTACTTTATAAATGATACTTCATAAATGATAATGATGTTCATTTATTTACAGGGAAATAATATGTAGGCATAGTCATGGATGTCTCTCTCATCCAAAAATGTCTCATCTCAGATTAGCAGCAAATCTAGTCACTTAGAACTGGGGTGAATTTAGAGATGGATCATTTCTCAGTAATTGTTAATGACTATTAAATCCTCTTCCCTCGCTCTAGGTCATTAACAGGGCCGATCTGAGATTCAGAGCTTATAGAAAGAAAAAGGAGGAGAATCTAAGTTTTGGGTTACAGATATACAGATATGCCCACAGCCCAAAGTTCAGACGCCTTGGCATGGCACTGGCAGCCACTACCTTCTGGCTCCAAACATGCCCTGCAAGTTTTCTCCGTGCAAGTTTTCAGCCTTCTGCCTCCACTCATACGCTTCACGCCCCCTGGAGCCTGGTGACCCACCTGCATCCCTATCAAAACCCTGCTAAGGTCCACTCAAAAGTTCCCTCCATACCAGCGTTCCCAGAGTCCCACAGGCAGGAGGAATGGCTCCCCTGCTTTGTACCCCACTGCATTATGCCTAGACGTCTAGTAATAACAATGTAATATATACACCTCTTGGATTACCATGTAATTTCTGTCTCCCCAAAAGATAATCAGCGAACTCTCCAAGGACAAGGACTATAAAGATGGAGGCGGATAAGTAAAAGTAGTTTCTGTAGTAGTAGTAACAGCCATCATTTAGTGAGGACTCACTATGTGCCAGGCACTGCATACGCATGATCTCATTTAATCCTCACAATGGTGTGAGGAAATACTATTATCTGCTCCATTTTTTTAAATATTTTTTATTGATTTCAGAGAGGAAGGGAGAGGGAGAGAGAAATAGAAACATCAATGATGAGAGAGAATCATTGATGGGCTGCCTCCTGCACGCCCCCCAATGGGAACCAAGCCCACAACCCAGGCACGCGCCCTTAATCGGAATCAAACCCGGGACCCTTCAGTCCACAGGCCGATGCTCCATCCACTGAGCCAAACCAGCTAGGGCTGCTCCATTTTTGAGACAAGAAAAATGAAGCTTAGAGGACAAGCAATTTGCTTAAAACCCACAGACCCCGTAGGTGGTAGTGCCAGAGTTCATACGAGATCTGTTGATCTCAGGTGGCAAGAGGGAGAGGGGTGAAGGGGAAGCTTAAGTCACTTACAGTCACAAACAGCTTTCAAATGTGAAACCAGGGTTAGCTCCTACGCCTGAGCTCTTAGTATCTTCTACTGTCCCCCCTTTTCGTATCGTTCCACAACACAGAGCCTTACCCAAGGCAGGTGCTCATCAAGTGTTTATTGAATGACTGAAGGAGGGAAATCTTACACAATGCTAGCTCTGTCCTTCAACCACTCACAGCTAGCTTGGCATTTTTATTACTTCTAACATGGCCTTCCAAGTCCAACCCACCAGCCAGTCCTATATGAATGATCAATGGTGGATGATGATAACCCCAGTTGAGGGGGTTCACTATAGGCCAAGAATCTTTGACTTAGGGTAATGTGTGCAGCACTCAGAACCTTATGAGATAGTTACTATTATCTCCAGCTACACAAAGTGAAACTGGAACATGAAGAATTGGAGTAACTTGCCCGAGTTACTAGTAAATAGAGGAACTGGGATTCAAACCCAGTCTGGCTATAAAACCCATACTTTTGACCACTACTTCAGTCTCCATGCATCTCCCAAAGTATCTAGAATAGTAAATATTGGCAGATAGATTAAAATAACATCTAGTGTCCTCCACCCCTAAACACTGCAAAACTGTAACTGTGTCTTCGAGATCAACAAAAACTCTCAACTTCTTTACAAAGCCCTTCTCAGTACCCTGGGACACCTCAACACGCTCCGCCAAGCACTGGGTGTGCTTGGATCCATAAGGACGGGCAGCATACTAACACCGGTTATGAAAGAAAAAGCAACTTTCAATTTCTCAGGGAAATATTCCTCAGACTCCACAGGTTCGTTAAAAGCCATAGAGAATATTTTTTAAAGAAAATAAGTACAGAAAAGCAGTTTAAAGCGTCAGAGAGATACGCACAGTTGTTACAAGATCTATTCTGTCTAAAACTTCTGAGGTTAGAAATCTGTTATTACTATAGATCCTATGATACATCATATGCCACAAAAATGTCTATTTATTCATTTCTTTGGCAAACATCCTCTCACCATCCCCTGCTGAGAGAGCCAGCTCTTTTATCAGCAAGGCCACAGCGTACCGGTCTCTTTCCAGGCCCTCTACCTGCCCTGTACAACTTGGTTAGCTTCACGGCGGGTATGAGAAGTTCAGTAAATGGCCAGAGGTGAACTTGGCACGGCCACTGAACTTTGAACATAGCCTCTTCCCGGAAAGACTGGTCACTTTCACTTTGCATTTCAGCAGCTCCCTGCTAAGGACCGAGGAAAGCAGCAGGAGGAGACTGGGAAAGAACTGTTTCTGTTCCCAGTGAAGGGAACGAAGTGGAGGTGTCACCCTGATAGCTCCCCACAGCCTATGGCTGCCACAATCCTTTCACGGGTTTAGATGGGTCAGAAAGACCCGGAAAGCAACTCCCCTGGGGAAGGGTAGCCAGTGACCGGCACCCTATGCTCAGACTGCACCATCACCTGCATCACTGCTATGGCCACTACCTGTCCTGACCCACTTGCCCAAAGTCACGCTCCTGGAAGCTGAGATCTGACCGTACTGGAGGCCTCCTGTCCTCTCTCTAGAATCCCACATGCTTGTGGACTGGCTTTATCTCCTTTCTCAGGACTTAGTAAAGGGTGACATTTTGAGATGAGCAAAGAGAACTTAAATTAAAACAGGGAGAAGGAAAAAAAAAGCAGTTTTCCAATCCCCCCATCAAACCATGGGACTGCATTTACCAAGTAGAGACCGATATAGGCTATAATGTCTCAAGCTTTCTGTACTCGACTACTAAGCAAGACAAGACCTCAGAAGTTGTGGGACACCTCAAAGGAACATCATGGAAAACCCTGACCGGGTGCCTATGACACCCCAGTAGAGGAGCTTCAACTGTCTGTCCTTCCGATCTCCACAGCAACCCTGGAGAAGTGTGTCAGCCTCGCTTTCTAAAGCAACTGAGGCTCCGAATTTCAATGACTTGTTTCTATAGCTAATAAGCAACACAGAGGCATTTAAAGCCAAAGCCAGTGCCATTATCAGTATAACATGGCTGCCTCCATAACCCTTCATAAGGCAAACACAATAACTGGGGTAAAGCACAGTCACCAGTAGTATAGTTTAAAAAAAAAAATCAATAATTCCCTAAAATCTACAGCAATACAGGTACGTATTTAAGTTACCCGATAATAATAATCAGTGTCATATAGGAGAAAAAACTCCTTTTATGCATATCTAATAAAAAAGCCATCTGAGCACCATGTTTTATCATTCTCAATGTGACAAAGAGAATATAGAAAGGAGAAGTGCCATCTGCAAAGGCAATTCTTTACCAAAAAGAGATACATGGACTCACCTTTCAGAAGCGCAACGGAGAGCTGGTCAGTGTTCAGATTATTGACGTATTTCCCCAGATAGGTATTGAGAACCCAGGCTACAAGCCCTTCCAACATGACTAGATCCCCAAGGCAAGGTGTTTAAAAATCACGGGTCATTCTTCATTTCTCTCTCTCATGATCACAGAAGAATCTATGAAAGAAAAGAAAAAAGGAAATCAACAGAAAAAACAGATGATTTTTAAGCTGATTTTTCCTGCTCTACCTAAAGGCGGAGGAACGCAAAGCACAGGTTTAAGAAAACACGGGGTGAGAAGCACTGGAAGATGGCCCATTAGTAAATGGAGGACCAAACCAATACGTCGACAAGGAATAGTCACTTAGAAATTTACCAAATATTACCTACAATGCAAGGTTGCATGTCTTTTCAATGTAACTGATCACTGAACTGCTTGCTTTCAGTGACTCACCTTGGGACTAGACTGTCCTGACCAAAGGTTCTCCTCCAGGTGTGATTTGGCCAAGTCTAGAGACATTTTTGATTGTGAGGAGTGGGAAGTGATACCTTGTGGGTAGAAACCACGGATGCTGTTAAACATCCTACAATGTGTACATAATACCCCACAGCAAAGAACTAGCCAGAATAACGACAGTGCTGAGACGGAAATTCTGTTCTAGATTAAAGCAAAATTGCACTTGAGGAGTGGGAAGTGATACCTTGTGGGTAGAAACCACGGATGCTGTTAAACATCCTACAATGTGTACATAACACCCCACAGCAAAGAACTATCTAGCCAGAATAACGACAGTGCTGAGACTGAAATTCTGTTCTAGATTAAAGCAAAATTGCACTAAGAGGTTATATCAATGAACTTCATATTCTGCAATGATCCTCTTTAAGGCTCCCCTAATTCAATTTTGCAAATCTGTTCATTGGGATCATCTGTAAAGTAACATAAAAGGAAGGGAGACGGTAGTGGTTGTTCATGCTTCCTAAATGTCCTGGAGGTGCATTACTGGGGCCTGATGTTGATACAATGAACTATCTTAGTAATTACACACACCAGAAAACATCTGGTTCTGGCTACCGTATTTACATTCAGCACTAAATCACTACTGCCTATCATTATTATTATTATGAATAACAGGTATTTATTAGTACTACAAAAATACATATAGGTTTTTAGTATTACAAAATGTTAATATTCAAGCCAGACCGGCATGGCTCAGTGGTTGATCATCAACCTATGAACCAGGTCATGGTTCGATTCCCGGTCAGAGCACATGCCCAGGTTGCAGCCTCACCCCCTAGCAGGGGCATGCGGCCAATCCATGATTCTCATCATTGATGTTTCTCCCTCTCTCTCTCCCTCTCCCTTCCTCTCTGAAATAGTTTTTTTTTTTTTAAAAAAAGTTAATATTTGGAAAACTTGACACCAGCGTTTCAATGGGTCCCCAAGTCGCTCAGCTAGCAGGGCCCAATGAGAACTGTGGGCACCAGATTTGCTATGGAAGGCGGCCCACTGGGAGCCAGCCCTCTAGGATCCTTTCCAAGCACCCGCCCCTCCTCCAGTGATTCATCTCAGCGCCAGAAGATAGCTGATCCCAACGGAAGGCCTGCCACACCCAGCACGGCCCCAAAACAAGGCCCTGGACGAGTTAACCTCCAGGAAGGACCCGTCAACATCGTCCTGCGCTTCCACGCAAGACTAACTTCCCTTTGTCAACAAGGACAGTCCACATTAGTAAGTAAATAAATAGCGTTTGGTGAAGTCCTCATTTCTTTCCAAAGATTTCTTTTTAAAGCTACATTCTGTGTAAAACTGGGAATCTGCTCAAGATTGCCGGATGCATTTACTTAAAGAGCACGTTTTCTAAAGTGGTGTTTTGTTTTGTTTCAAATCCTCACCCGAGGACATGCTTTTAAAATAAGAAGTGTGTAGCAGTCTGAGTAAAAGAAACATTTCTTTATTTTACCTTCAAACAAGCAGATCTGTGAAAACAAAATGCGAACCTGGCCAACCTCGCCTGATTTGTGCGGACTCCCAACCACTTGGGCAAAGCGCCAGAGTCGGCGTAGTCTTTATTTTTGGAGTCCCTCCCACCGACGTCTGCCCTACCTGCCAACAAACTCTCCCAAGGACCAGCGACACACGCTCTCCCGGTAAACGGACACCGCGGTGGGTGGGTACACAAGATCCCCCCGCGCCCCCGTGTCCACCCGGGAGGTGGAGGAATGCACGGCGCGGATTAAAAGATGGGGCAGGACGCACTGTCAATGCCCCGGCCGGGACACCGCGCCCCAGGCCAGGACGCACGGTCGGCTCTGCTAAGCATCCGGGCCGGGCTGGAGGCCACTCGCGCAT